GTATTCTTGTAATTCTGGAGTACATTGTTTACGAAGCTCGTTCAATACCACTGTAGGATTTGGGTCTACATCCATTTTCATATCTGGTTGAAAGTAAGTCATTTCTGGCAAGAGATAAAATTTCTTAAGTTTACTTTTTAATAAAATGATCAAAAAAAAAAAAAAAAAAAAACTAGATTTTCGAATTTAAAGATTAAATTTTTTTGGATTACGCAAGCTGTTATACGTAACTGGTAATCAGATTAAGGTTACTGTACCATTATCGTTATACGTATTCGATAAAAAAAATTTGTCTTAATCACGTGTCAGAAAATTTTCTGACAGTAAATATTTTGCTTAAACGTAAAGACATAATATAGATCCTCTAACGTTAATATTTAAAATACGATTGTAACCGTCTTAAAATTATCTATCAAAAGATTGGTACTTATACTTTAGTTTATTAGATATGAATCCGGTATAGTTTAGCGTCCCGTTATATCACATAATTTATTGACTTTTATAATATTGATTAAAAAATTTATAAAATCTTTTTAAATTAAAGGATTCAAAACGAAAAAGACAAGAACAAGAAACTATAGAATTGGTTGAAAAAAATAAAAAATATACATTAATTCAAGATGATTATCTTGATGAACAACGTTTCAAGAAATCCAAAAAGTCTAAGAAAGAAAGACATTTGCGTAAAAAAGATACTTTGAACGAATGGGAAAGTGATTCAGAAGATAAATCTATTAAAATACCTAATGAAATTGAAATTAAATATGGTATCTTTTATTAAAAGCTCCAATTATTAGTCCATAATCACGTGATAATTCCACTCATTTATATACTTTTAAATATATTCGATGTAATAGAATCAGAAGACGAGTTCATAAAAGAGGAAAATGAGAGAATTCAAGATAGAAAAGAAAGAGATGAATATGCAAGGCGCCTAAGAGAGAAAGACAAGGAAAAAACGAGAAAGGTTGGTGAATAATAAGTTATATTATCAAACAAAATTGATGAATTTTAATTCATTTTTTTTTTTTTTTCATAGCTTGTAGAAGATCGATCATCGAAAGCAGATAGTGAAACTGCTAAACGGAGAAATCTTGCCGATGACTCAGAAGCACGTAAACAAGTTCTTCCAGAGATTCGAGAAAGATCGCGACAAACATACTTAAAAGATCGAACAGATAAACAATTACAAATGTTAGAATTAGGTGTTCTGGATGAAGATATATTATTTAAGGATGAAAAACTTTCTAAAAGGGAAAGAAGGGAACTTGAAATGAAAAAAGAGACATTAAGATTAACGAAAGAGAGACTTAGCCTTTCTGGAAAAACTGATGAATACGCAATGCCAGAAGGTAAAATTATTTATAATAGTTCTTTATGAAAGTTGCGTATTAAATTTTTAATATTTCAAATTTCACTATAGATTATATAACGGAGAAAGGAAAAATAGATAAAAAAAGGAAAGAATCTGTTTTATATCAACGTTACGAGGAAGACCGTGACCCAAATAAATTTGTCACCGATCAAGATCAATGGGAACAAACTCAAATAGTGAAATCTCAATTAAAAGTTGGTGCTAAAGATAGAACGAAAGAAGAGGAGGATTATAGTTATGTTTTTGACGATCAAGCCATTGATTTTCTTGACTGGGATTGGAAAGCAAATAATAAAGATGACGAAATTTTAGCCAAAATTGATGAAGCTGAACGAAAGGGTGTGCGCATTTTATTATTTTATTATTTTATATTTTATATTTTTTTTAGTAATAAATGTATATTTAATTTTTTTTGATTCTTTTCTTTTTTTAGCAAAAACAATCGAGGAAACGCGCAAGTCTTTGCCCATATATTCTTTTCGTGAAGAATTACTCAACGCTATAAATGATTATCAAACTATAGTGATTGTTGGTGAAACGGGATCTGGAAAGACTACACAACTACCTCAATATCTTAATGAGGCAGGTTACACCAAAGGAGGAAAAAAAATTTGTTGTACGCAGCCTAGGAGAGTTGCAGCAATGAGTGTTGCCGCGCGTGTGGCCGAAGAAATGGGTGTAAAGCTTGGATATGAGGTAAAAATATATATATATATAGATAATAATTTTTTATTACTGATCATGTACACACATTTTTATTTATATTAACAAATTTGTCATCAATATAGGTTGGATACGCTATAAGATTTGAGGATTGTACTTCAGATAAGACCATAA